CATTCTCAGAAATCACGAGAACCGAAAAGGGAAACCCATTCCCGTGTAAGTATCAGTTGCATGAAGAAAGTCCCTGGTATTAATACTCAGTTTGCTATGCGAGCTGCTGCCTCCGTGAACATTGGCTTCTCCTGTCTTGAGTTAATGCCAAGTGAGTGATGCTACTGAAAACATCTTAAGCAGTAAGTGCCATTTGACTGGCTGGACTGACGTGCCCTAGCTGACATCCTCTGACCTCTGAATGGGAGGCTTCAGAGAGAGAAGAGGCTCCTGTCTGGAGCCGCAGTGGACTGAAAGGCCAAAGAAAATGGTACGATTCACAGAAAGATGACATGATGACCTGGAGAACTGGCATGTCTCTTAGTCACATTGGATCCAGCAAACCAGTTCCTTCCAGTTCCATTTGCAAAGCAACGTATTTGGGAGGAATCTGCCAAGGGTCCACCAATAAAAGATAAGAGGTCAAAAGATTATCCCAAGCTGTTTTGACTTTGTTTCTCTAGTCTGAGCCTTGATCCATGCTTTGAATATGTTATTAATGCTTTATGGTTTATCAATGCCACTTACCTGCTCTTGCTAGCAGAAACGAAATGATTAAATGATTGGCCCAGTCTACCAAGGTTTTTTTTTTTCCTCTCTTGCATGTAAGCAGGTGTGGAAAGAAAAGTTGTGACTTGTCCTATTAGACATTCTTTCTGACTGCAATCTTGTGGGCAGCCTAAATGGGGAAACTCTCATTTCTTCCTAGTACACACAGAGGTCATCGGGTAAAGGAGCGGAACTTCTTTCTGACCTACTTGATTCCATTCTGGTTCCAGGAGGGTCTTCCAGTCCAAAGAAGATATCTATTACTTATAAATTTAATTTAATTTAATTTTAATTTTGACATTATCAAATAGTGATTTCTAGAGGTGGACTTTTCATTCCATTCTCTGACTTGATTTAAAATGAAGGTATGGATTATATATGGAGGAGGGCATGGCAGCCCACTCCAGTATTCTTGCCTGGAGACTCCCATGGACAAAGGAGTGGGGTGGGCTACAGTCCATGGGGTCGCAAAGAGTTGGACATGGCTAAAGTGACTTAGCACGCATGCTGGGGATATATAAAAAAGATAATCAACAAGAACCTACAGTATAGTACGGGGAACTCCACTCAATATTCTGTAATAATATGGAAAAGTGAAAAAATGGATAATATGTATGTGCATAGCTGAATCTCGGCAAGACACCTGAAACTAACATTATATATTATAAATCAGCTATACTCTTAATATAAAATACAAATAAAAAAATAAAACGAAAATAGGTAAATAGTAATCCTGAGATTCATGGTCTACTTTAAAATCCTGTATGTTGAAGCGTCTGCTGTTATTTCGAAGGAGTGATAGACTTGTGAAAAGTGTGGTCTGCCGGATCATGTAGAGCAGAGGAGCAAGAAGTGTGTAGCGTAAGTGAAGCTCCAGTGTCAAACAGTAAGTGATAGAATTCTGCTTCACTTTGGCAGGAGTGAGACAGAAGGTAGGGTGGAGAGCAGAGAGAATCTTAGTAATCCCCAAATTTCAAGTAAATAGCCAAGCTATCATCACCACCTGGATTTAACATGCCTCTTACAGCCTTCTGAATCGTAATGCTTCTCGCAGAGCCTTCCCGTGGCTCTAGCTGCAGGCAGCAGGGGTGGGAGCTGTGCCCGCCCTTTCCACATGCTTCTGCTCGCTCAGCTCACCTTCTCCTGGGAATTCACAGGTAGGTGGGATGCCTGTTGGCTCCGGTTCACAACTGGGACGCCTGCAGTAGAGAAGTTACAGCTGGGTCCCCGCTGGGGAGGGCCGGTGGGTGACGAGGGACGGCCTGGCCCAGCGCACTCGCTTAGGCCCCAGATGCCCGGGCGTGGTGACGGGCGCCGCCTCGGCAGGCTGGTGGGAAGCAGCTAGCAAGAGAGGAGGGGAGGAAGTGGGGCCTGGAGGCTGCCTGCTGGGCACACCCTAGGCAGCCCCTTTCCACCCCACACTACCTTGGGGAGGGAGACGCTTCCTCTGTGTTCTGCAGGAAGGAACCAGGTTGTATGGCAGAAGCCAGAACAGCATGGTAAAGTGGTTATCCTCCAAGTTAAAGAGAAAAAGAAAAGAAAGAAACCAAGGCCCAGGCGCACACAGCCGGCAGTCACAGATCCGAGATCAAACCCTGCTCTGTCCGAAGAGGGAGCTGCCCTCCCAGGCCCAGGCCAGTGCATGGCCTACCAAGTCAGCAGAGGGGACGGGGATCTGACGGCTTCCCTTCCGCTTGTCCTCTGTCCCCTGGACGGGATGGCTGGTTGGAGCATGAGGAGATAGTCAGAGAAGCTCCGTGCCAAAACCGTGTGAGGGGCAGGCACACACCTTGGGAACTCATGGCTCCTTCCAGCAAGTGTTTACTGAGGAATTGCTGTGTGTGAAACACTGTGCTGGGTGGTGGGGGTAGTCTGAAATGACCGGTAAACTCACGTTTCCTTCTCACTTCAAACGAAGTTTGTGCTAGCTCACAGCATCGCTGAGCATTGATCCTGAAGTGCTCTATTTGTGCTGAAAACTACACAATGCAATCAATAGGTAAAGAGGGTATTCTTTTTATCTTTCTAAATACCCCTACCCTCACAATGAAACTTCATTAATTGCTTGTTTTTGGTAGGATGCTTATACCAACTGTGATTTGTCTGGCCAGTGTTGTAGGTAATAGTCTGTTGACTCACCTGCTTTGCATTTTTTAAAAAATCTCTTTATTAGTGATTTTTTAAAACTCATCTTTTCTTTTCTATCTTTCATAGAACAACTGAGAAAATCATTTGAAGCCCAAGCTCTTAATTATCTTCTCCATAACAGCAAAGGCAATTCTGATGAAATTGGTCCCTTCTTAAAGCTAATAAATTAGTCTGAAAGGAAATGTCTTAAAGCCACAAGTATATAGTAAACAGATAAATGAAGGGTATCTTCAGAGACTGCACTGTTCTTTTCAATTTCCTGAGTATCCAATGAGGATTTAGTAAATACTTATGGAGGGCCTGGTCTGGTCACTCTTCAGGGAACCCCCAAAGAAAAATCCCTACTCTCATGGACCTTGCAATGCAAGGTTAATCAACATTTGTTGGCAGAGGTCTCCATGAAATGCTGCTGAGTATTTTGTGTAGAAGCAATTTAAATTCTAATGTATCCTGCATGCAACAACATAGCTGAACCTCATAAATGAAATGTGCTAATAAGGAAGCCAGACTCAGAAGAGTAAATACTATATGATTCTGTTCACACAGCACAAAGCTCAATGCTGATTTGTAGTTTGTGAAGATTCATCAAGGTGTGTGTGTGTGGTCTGTGCACTTTCTATATGTATAGTTTACTTCAGTAAAACATTACTTAAAATATTCAAATCAACACAAAAACATCAACTATCGATTGATCATTTCTAGATTAACCATCCATTAGGAATAACTTCTCTGCTTACTTCCATAGATAATTGAGAAAACAGTATATTCAAATGCCTATTCCAGTAGGCCTACTAGTGAACTGGGAAACATTTATCCAGGCTTCAGAATTAACACTGTTAATTCTGGGTGGAATTTACACTGTTCATGTTCTTGATGTGAAGGAATTCATCTGTCTCCATGTGGAGATGGTTTTGGAAAACTGAATGTATTAAGTCAAACTTTAGTACCTTCTAAAACTATCCCCCAGAGAAACAGAAAATGGGTCTTACTTCCAGAAGAAAAACATCCACAAACGCTTTCCTTTTCTTGCTTTTGGCCATTTCAACTGAAACTCTTGTTAGTCTTTCACTGATGTGGTTGCCCTCATGTGCGTGAAAATAGTTATTAATGAAGTCATACTGTTACAGGGTAATAAAGGCATCAGAGAGAAAGGTGTCTGTGTGTGTACACCAATGTGTTTGGGGTTTTTTTCTCTAAGATCATAGGAAGAGATCTTTAGAAATTACTCCCTTCCCCCTACATTGTTATGAAACTAAACATAGGATCAGGTAGTTTTTGCTGAAAACCCCCAAATTTAATTTTTTGGACTGAAAGCCTGGCATTTTTTCTTTGCTCAAATAAGTCTTTGTCCACCATCGGAATGCATGAATAAATTGCCTTTCAGGGCATAGGTAAGAACCTCCTCTTAAAATTCCCCTTTCCAGAAATAGTCACTTGTGGGAGCTCCTTTTTTTAAATGCACTTAAATATGCCCTTGTAATATTCTAGTATTTTTTCTAATTTGACCTTTTTCTTTGTTTTATCAGATACATTAAAACTTAAAATGCCCATATTAAAGAAGGTGCAACTTTGTAGCTCTAAATAATCAGAAGAATATAAAATATGGTTAAAAAAAAAACTTTGCTTTTTCAAGTTATGGAATATCATCCACCTCTGGTTTTGATTAAGGCTGCCAGTTTTCTAGGAATTGTGGTTTTTGTCAAATGCATGCGGAAGGCACTGATTGGGGTTCTGGTTGGAGTTCTGGTTTGCTTTCAGAAAACTTCAGAAACACTCCTTGATGTTATTTGTGCAAATGCATTAACACATCAGGGAAAGGGTCAGTAAGCGTGTGCTTCTATGCTGGGTGTCCATTACAGCCCATTACTCTACACAGAAAGGCAAAAACCAGTTCAACCATTTGTGAATGACCGTAATACACATTTGGTTTTTTCAAAGCTGTCTTCTCTAAACATTGTGGGTTGCACCTAAGCCTTTTTGTGTTTATATTGAATGATTTCTTTCTTTGTGGGTAACATGGAGAGGTATTTTTATTTCCCCTTTGGGTTTTCCTACAAATCTCGCGTTCTTCAGAAATGTCAACTTTGCTTTCATTTTTAGCCGTTAGTGAATATTGCTAATTGTATAATGACACTTCTCTTCCAGTATGATCAGCAAAAAAGGTTTGGCACGTATACCTTTCACTTGTAGTTTTTATTTTCAGCTTGGTTACAGTGTTAACCTTCTGTCTTGCCAATCCTCTAATTTTGGATTTGGTCTTATAGATACGGACCGAGAACTCCTGTGTCTGACGACGCAGAGTAAGTTGTTTTGTATTCATAGGAATACATTAATTATAGCCTAAACTGCATGCTTCCAGTACTCACCACTAATTGAAATGCAGTTGATGTAACAGTGGACTGAAGAGCTAACTGACTCTTCTCTGCAGCCTCAGAGAAGCCCTTGAAATTGGAATGCAAAACATATGTTCGGTGCAGGAGAGATGAATGAAAAAGCCACTTAAGCATGATTCTAATACGCAGCTGCTGCTTAAAACTTAACATTTGCTTTTCATAGATGGGGCATGTGAAAGTTGTTCTTGTTAGGGTTTGGAAGTTGGAACCTCTTCTGAACCATGGAATTGTTAAAAGGCTCTTCTGTGCTTTGCATTGAATCCTTGATATGTGAAGGCTTAGCCGTGCAGCAGTCATTCTCAAAGGCACATTTTTTTTTAAGCTAAGAAAATAAATTCTAAACCACTAATGATAGATTCAGAAGCCCAAGTTCCTCCCAGGTTGGAGTTATATAAACGGTGGGATGCTGAGCCCAAAACACTGGGGTTTCATTCATGTTCTGTGGCACAGCCAGGGGTCAAGATGTACAACGTGACTTGGGTTGCCTCTCCTTGGTTTCCGCTCCACCCAGAGATGCATTGCCCATCCCCAACCTCACATCCAAATTTGAGAAGAATCTACTGTCTCCCATCTGTGACCACATGGACTCCATTTCAAAAACAGATTCCCCATAGGCAGAGCATTCTGAAACTGATAGCCAAGACAGTTTTCTTTGCAGAAGGCTAGCTTGCTCAGATTTAAGAAACATGGTCAGTATCTCACTGCAACACCAGTGGCCCACTAAGCCTGATGTCTGTCCTCTGGGAAAGGTGTTTTGTGGCCTTGTGGGAGTCCAAGCCATTCTAAGAATGAACCTCAACATTCCCCCTGCCTGTCTTCCTGGCCTGAGCCATAGTTTCGAGTCAGCGAGTGAGGAATCCGAGTAACAGTGTAGAACAAATATCATTTCCACCAGTAACGGCAATCAGGCCACATGTCGACTGTATTTGAATTGTGCTTTTTTTCCATGTTTGTGTTCAAGATGTCAGCTTAGTCTGCACTTTTAGCTCTAAGCAGTCTGACTCGAGTGCCAAGGAGATCAGTTTCCGATGTGTGATGTATGATTGCTTTGTGGCCTGACACACGGAACATTCATGTCTCAGAACTAAATTCAGCCGGAGCTTGACTGACTGCATGGAGTTAAGTAGTCTATAAAACTGAGCCCTGGTTATTGCTTTTAAAATCTACAGTGGCAGTATTTAACATTCACTGAAAGGAGGATTATATAAGATTGATAGGCAAAACACTACTTTGATTTGGTTAGCAAAAACATTTTGATAGAATGGATTTACTCTTCATCATTGCAAAGCTGCTGTGCAATTTGCCTAATACAGATCTCTCAAAAACCCTGAAAGCTGAAAGAAAAGGAGCTACATTAAAGAGCTTTTGAATGCTGCCTGTACCTAAATATGAAACCTCACCCACAGGAAAAGTAAATGATTTTTTAAACCAAGTGGGGGTGCCGACTCTTCTAAATTTACCAAAAAAAAAAAAAAGAAGCAGCTTGTGATCCAGGAAGAGTATAAGGAGCTTCTTTTCCAGGGGTCTTATCTAGGAACATCTAAAGGGCTGAATTTCTTTCTTGGAATAGATATAATTTATATGAAATCAAGTGGGTAATAAAAAAAATTTATGTCAGGAGTTTTTTTTTTAATAGAAATTTATAATATGTTTCATTGCCCCCCCCCACTATCTCCCGTTTTCAGAATCTTTACAGACAACTGTTGGAATAGGCTCTATTTATTCATAATTGACACATTCTTAAAATGCAGCCCAATCAAAAAAAGATGTGCCCTTTAAGGAGAATGCGGGTCAGGGGCAGACCTACCACACAGGCAAACAGAAATTTCCGCCTCCTGGCAAGCCAAGAATGTTTCCATTGATTTAGTTTCACCTTCTTGCCCTTCTCTTCACTTCCACATACCTCCTCTCCCAAAGGTCCCCACCATGGAGCCTGGAAACTGAGAGCCAGAGGCCATTTTGCTCCTAATTCCCTTACCTTAGGCTTGGTCCAGAAACCATTTCCAGGCTCCCCTGGAGGTCCTTTAATCCTGGCCCTGAGAAATGCCAACCCACTGCAGGGAGAGGCTCCTGGGCTCTGAGGCCAGGGGCCCTGCTCCCCACAGCCCAAGAGCACAGCCTGTTGTGCTGAGAAGCACAGGTCTGGTGCAAGTCCTGTTAATGTTGTGGAGCCGAGACCTCTCCAGGGTCCCCGATGCGCTATGCTCTACTAAGTCGCTTCAGTCGTGTCTGACTCTTTGCGACCCCATGGACTGCAGCCCGCCAGGCTCCTCTGTCCATGGGATGCTCCAGGCAAGAACACTGGAGTGGGTTGCCATGCCCTCCTCCAGGGGATCTTCCCGACCCAGGGATCGAACCCACATCTCTTATGTCTCCTGCATTGGCGCGCAGGTTCTTCACCACTAGCGCCACCAGGGTCCCCCACCCCATCCCTCAACATGCACTTCTTCATTTTGGAGGCTGAGTCCAATCTCTGAATGAGGGAACATTTTCTGAATGGTGACTCAGCTCATTTTCTATTATCAGTCCTTAGCTTGCTTCCTTTTTTGAAATGGCTTAAAGGTATTGCTCATAGTTTTATTATTTCTCTTTTGCTGGTGTTGCTTTTAAAAGAAAAAAAAAAATTCTCTAACCAAAAAAAAAAAAAGTACTTCCTGGTATGAGAAGGCAGACAAGAGTTTCTCTTTTTATTTCATTAACCAGCTTTTGGCCACATTTGGGGATAGGACCTTAGGACAGAAGAGGGCCATTCCAAAGGCCTTGCTCCCCCCCCTCCACACCAATCAAGTGTGATAAGCAGTTCTCAAATCTTGGAGAAGCCTGCCATTTTCTTACTGGGGTCCCAGAAGAAGACTTTGCCCTATGGCCATCAGTGTGACCTAAACCAAAATTCTGCCCTTTAAAAATTACAGATGGCAAAGTTGAAGGAAAGCACCTCCTTTCTCTCCCATAATCTGCCAGCTATTTAGTAGATTACAATAGAGTCCCAGCTGAGAGGGGTTTATGTCCTCTAAGACCTTCACAAAGCCTATAAATTGCCTTGAAGGAGAAACAGGCTGAATTTGATACATGTACAGTTAAGTTTGGTTTTGTTTTTTTTTTTAACTCTGAAAAGGAAGATGGGATGAATTCGGGTCCCTTTCTGGAATGGTTGTTTGAGGGCATTATGATCCATGAAGTTTAAAAACCATCGATTAGACTTTTCTACTTAACTCTGCAAATCCCTAAATTTCCCGTTCACCACATGAATAAGCAGCATAAAGTAGGTGACAAATCGCAGTCGACAGTTTACGTCCCAGGAAGGCAGTTTCCACAAGCAGCACTGTGGCCTGAGTGTGTGGACAGCTCCACGCAGCAGTCTGCCACATCCATGCAGATAGAAGCCCTGGATCAAGGAAAGTCCCACGCAGCCGGATTATTAGAACCAGAGTAAAGTACCGTCTGCAGTTTTCACTCTCTGTGGTCAGACTCGAACTGTCCAACATCTAAAGAGGGGAGAGGCGCTCATGCGTTCATAGTGGAGTCGACCGCAATGAACGTGGGCAGCCATGGCTTTGGGGTCGTCTCCTTCCAGAGACCGCCTGCTGAGGAGCCCCTGGCACCCAGCGATGCTGCCGCTGGGCTTTGTCTGGCCATGGGGAGCTATTTTGGACATCACTGATGATGTCTGGGATTAGTTAGTGTCCTGGTGCATGGCTCTTCTTTTTCTTTGTGTTAAGCTGGCTTCAAAAATGGACTGTCGCAGTCTTCTGTTCTTAAAGGGCCCTCCGCTTGTTGGGCGCTTTATAACCCACTTGATCTCAGAGCTAGTCATTTCTTTGAGAGGAAAGAAAAAAAAAAGGGAAGATTTTGCTTTGGTTTTTATTTCTGTTCTCATCTTGCTGCTTCAGCTTTCACTGTAACAAAGGTCTATAATAAGCATTGCAGAAAAGGCCCTATGGTCTTACCCAACATTTAATAAGCTCCTGCAGAATGTATCAATTATGTGAACAGCCTAAAGGCTCTTAAAATTTGCTTTCCAAATCCTTTTGCTTTTAAAAGAGTAGAATATAAAGTATACACTGATTTTTATATTTGTCCCTTAACCTTACCATAAAATACCTTCTTTTCTTAATTTCAAGATGCCATCAACAAACTACAGATTTACAGTTTTACAGGACATAGAAATAAACCACAACAAACATATGTATCATTTGTGCATAGTTGCTGGATGCATCCAAAATTCAGAAAATACAACATGAAAAAGTGGTACGTTAGACTGAGGCTGAATATCACTTTTTTAATGGAGAAATTGCCTGTTAATGAAGAAAGCATTTAAGCCAGTCCTACACAAACAAGCATTTACTGCAATTAAATTTTCAGGGGACGCCATCCTCCTTCCCCACAAATCCTCACCAAGCTATACATGTTAATGCTCTTCATTTTATTTTCTAATACATTTATAAGTGAGACCAGCTCAGAGCTTCAAATACCTTTTCAAGCCTCTTAGTTTAAACATATTATCTTGGCTCCCAACATGTAACATTAATTGACTGCTTCAGCCATCACTGAAGACAAAGATGGTCACATTTTGGCTTCTGCTTCAAAAGAAGAGCTGAGGCTCCTAGCATGCCCGCTGCTGCCGGCCGAGGGAGGAACCGATCGCGGACCGCGTGGCTGCCTTAGGCTCCGGGGGAGGGGCGGGTTTCCGCGCGCGGTAGCGCCCCCGCGCGGCGGGCGCCGCCCCGCGCAGAGCCGGGAGGGCGCTCACCTCGGTCCGTGCCTTTGCTCTCTCCACGCGCAGGAGCACGAGTATGTTCGACATGCGGGGCGAGGAGGACGCCGCGGTGCAGCCGCACGGCAGGGCCCGCCAGGAGCAGCTGCAGCTGATCAACAGCCAGCTGCGGGAAGAGGATGACAAATGGCAGGATGTGAGTGCTGGGGCCAGGGCCCTGGGCAGTGGGGAGGCTGTGCTGCCCGCTGGGCCAGAGGCCCTTTGGAGCAGAGAAGCAGAATCAGATCGGGTGGGAGCCTCGGGCTGGAAAGCCGTGCAGAAGAAGGGGCGGGGGTGGCGGAGAAGACTAAACAGTGAGCACCGCCCATGTGGGAATTAAGGAGAGGACACTTGCTGAAGCTTGGCCAGAAAGCAGAGGGGCGCGGGCGGGAGGCAACTGGCATGGGATGCCAAATCAAGGATGCACTGTTTTCTGAGTTTGTATGTTTGGAGTTGATAATAATGCAGATGATGACAATGATGGTAACTGCCCACGTGGAAAGCATGCCGGTAACAGGTACTGTCCTGAGAGCCTTGCGGTGAATCGTTCCTGAATCCTCCCAGTAACTCAGCGTGCTCGCAACTGTAGATGTTACTGGCCTCAGTCCCACAGAGGGGCCCCAGGGCAGTGAAGTAACTTGTCCAGAGTCACACAACTAGTGAGTAAGAGATCGAGGATGGCCCCAGGCCCTGATGGGGGCCTTGGGATTGTCTGTGTGCTGAGAGCAGAGAGCTAGGGCAGGAGAGGAGCTCGAAGCTCGGTATGAAACGGGAGAGAGTGGACTATTTCATCTCATCCTGACAGAGCGCTCTGAGGTAGTCACTGCAGATTTGACTCTACCTTTAGTCAATTAGTGAACTTTCCCAAAGTCGATCAATTGCGGTAACGATTATGTCTATGAGATATCAAGCGCTTACTGTGTGCCTGGCACCTGACCTTCGATACCTCATTTCACCCTCACAACAAGCTTGCAAGCGTAGGTATCATTATCGTTTCTGTTTTGGAGGTGAGGAAACCGGGGTACAGAGAGGCTAAGAAGCATGCTTGAGATTCCAAAGCATGGAAGAGATGGAGCTGGGATTCTTTCCCACAGCCACATGCCTACCTGTTTGACTCCAGAATCCTAACTCTTTCTCGTTAGGCTCTAATTGCCCATAGGATTTGTGATGAGGTTGTCATAAAGATCAGATGACTTAGGACATGATCAGATGACTTAAGACATACAGAACTATTGGTTCTGCAAGACCCCAAAACCAATTGTTTCTCTGCTTTTTCTTCCTTCCCTGAGGGAATTTGTGTAGGTCTGTGGCTAATTCCTACCATTCTATTGTCAGCGAGTCCATTCACAATGCAGAGGTCATAAATAGCAAGAAATGAAGTTTCTTACAATATCCTGTGAGACAATACTTTAACATTTGACAAATGACACAGAATACAATAGCAAATTTTACGTTACCATGTTTTACAAAATGTGCTGCCCTGCTCTGGATAATGTAGAATATCTGAAGGTTTCCTGCCTTCAAGATAGTCCTGTTCCAGCCAAACTTTACACTGGATTGTAGAGGAATGTCTTAGCCTGGCACACAGTCAGCACTCACTAAACCCTTAAGTGTAGAAACGGAATTACATGCAGCTCTGAAGAGGAGTGTTCTGTCTCCCTCTCCCTCCCCCATAGGACCTGGCTCGTTGGAAGAGCCGCAGAAGAAGTGCTTCTCAGGACTTAATCAGAAAAGAGGAAGAAAGGAAAAAAATGGAGAAGTTACTGGCTGGAGAGGATGGGACAAGGGAACGAAGGAAAAGCATAAAAACCTACAGAGAAATCGTCCAAGAAAAGTGGGTTCTTTCTGTTGTTGTTTAATGTACGGCATTGTTTAGATGTGCTTTTTCTAAAACTTGTCAGTCATCTCAAAGGCTCTGACACTATTATTACACACCCTGTGTGGTCTCTTCAGCTCTACTCTGGGACCTACCGGGGTCGTGACTGTTGACTCTCTTCTTGCTTCCTCTCCCATGTCCACCCTTTAGGGAGCGCAGAGAGAGGGAGTTGCATGAAGCATATAAGAATGCACGGACCCGGGAGGAGGCAGAGGGTATCCTTCAGCAGTATATCGAGAGATTCACCATCAGTGAAGCTGTTCTTGAACGCTTGGAGATGCCAAAAATCCTGGAAAGAAGCCATTCAACAGAGCCAAACTTATCCTGCTTCCTCAGCGACCCCAGCCCTATGAAATACCTGCGGCAACAGTCACTGCCTCCACCCAAGTTCACTGCCACCGTGGAAACCACCATCGCTCGTCCCAGCGTTCTGGATGCCAGCATGTCAGCAGGCAGTGGGTCTCCAAGCAAAACTCTCTCTCCCAAAGCAGTGCCTGTGCTGACGCCCAAGCCTTACTCCCAGCCCAAAACCTCTCAAGAGGTTCTGAAGACCTTCAAGGTAGGATGAGTTCTTTAAGGGTAGAACCAAAACTGAACTCCTGGGGGATCAGTGAAAAGAAGCATCTTATCTCAGGAAGATGCAGTTGTTCTTATCAAACAAAAGCAAATGCGTTAACATGTACAGTTATGAAGTTTATGTGTCTCTGAGATTTGGTTTGCAAATAATTCAGGGATTGATGATTCTTCTCAATTCCTATTTTTCATACTGATGGGCTTGGATGAGATTGGTGGTTGAGTCACCTCCCTGAGCAAAAGGTCTGTTTCATAGTTTGATATGCTGAGTGACTGAACATACATGCATGCATGATGGTATGATACCTCCGTAGCAATGGTAACAGACCCCAATTTAGCAGCACCCTAGGTATCTTCATTTATCTGGAGGTATTGAAAATGCCTCAAAACAAACTTTTAATGACCTTTAGTGTAAATAGAGGTGTATACCACTACCTCTGTATATACCTCTGACATCATAATTGAAAAGATGCTACCAGTGGGGAGAAAATGGTAATATAAGAAATACATGGGATATACTTGGTATTCAAATGAGACAGATTTTTTTTTTAATTTTAGGTGGGAAGAAACTATGTTATTTTGGAGGTGGGAGGGGGGTGCCAATGAATGTGTAAAATAGTGCTCCAGAACCACAGAACCTATGGCAGCCAAACATCTTTTTTCTTCCTCAAATCCTAGTATTTTTCCTCACATCAGGAGGAAGTACTCATCCTTCATCCCAAGCAAGGTTGACTGCAAAGAAAAATCAGTTTTCCTTGTCCCTGTGCACCACATGGGCCCATCATAGAACATAGAGGTGGAAGTCCTCAGTAGCAGACACAGACATGGGACTGTAAAGAAAGTTTGCTAAGCTAAACTAATGGAGCACTGTGTGTGTATCTTCCGATTGAAGTTCAGAGGGAACCAAGCCATATTTCTAACTTTCTTAGCATCTTTCTTAGCTTAACTCTGAGTGTATCTCTGAAATCTGTGTCTTAGGCCTTGATCGAATGAAAGAAAAACATCCTTTCCGTCTCATCTAGGTTGGATGGAGATGTTTATCCCTCAAGGGAAACCGCTGTGCGTGTGTTCACAGCTGCATCCTAAGAGCCTGGTGTCTGTGCCCAGGCACTCGGCAAGTGCCTGTTGAGTAAACACATGAATTTTTCCTGAGAAGACGAGACACTCATCGTGCAGACTGGTGCACACACAGATACACATGCGGTTGCATGTGGTCGGCAGGCTGCCTAAGTACTGTAGCAACCCTCCTCCTCCCGGGGCCCAGGACCATCAACTGTCTGATAGCTTCTCATGAAGGATGGTTTGGTATTTTGGTGGCCGAGAACAGGAACAGGGAATACATGTATTTAACTTGGTGTCCAAGGAATGTGATCAGTGAATCTAGATGTCCATTTCCTTTCCTTTACACAAACAGTACAAAAGTAAGTGAAGGCACTCAGTCGTGTCCGACTCTTTGCGACCCCATGGACTGTAGCCCACCAGGCTTCTCTGTGCATGCGATTCTCCAGGCAAGAATCCTGGAGTGGGTTGCCATTTCCTTCTCCAGGGGATCTTCCCGACCCAGGGATCGAACCTGGGTCTCCTGCATTGCAGGCAGACACTTTAACCTCTGAGCCACCAGGGAAGCGAAACAGTACAATGTGATCATTTAAACAGAAGATGTAGGATAGATGAGTTCATGGCAAGACCCTGAGAAAACCCAGTTCCTTCTGCTGTGGCAAGACAGGGTGGGGGCTTCAGGGGAGGTAGAAGGAGGAACGTGGATAGAGGTCCTTCTAGAGCTGGAGCTCACCAGGGAGCCATCAGCTCATTGTAGGTGCTCACGGCTGTCGGCCCTGTTCACAGCCCACCATTGAACGGGTGAGCACGCTCGTGGTCAAAGGTGGGGTGTGAGTGGGCAGTTGTTAGGAGATGACACCAGAATCAGAGCTCAGGTGCATGCGCGCATGTGTGTGAGCGTGCACGTGTGTGTGCGTGCATGCGTGTGCATGTGTGCATGTATGTGTGTGCGTGCGTGTGTGTGTGCACGTGTGTGTGTGCGTGTGTATTTTCTTGTGGGGAGAAGGTGGGCGTGGGAGGCAGGGAATGCAGGCTCAGTCTCAGCACAACAGATTTAAGAGCGAAAGAAGAGCAAGTATCAATAAAAGGGAGTAGCAGAAAAATGGTTTAAGGCCGTGTTTTCAAACTGAGAGTTGCCCCCTATGGCTAGGCTATGAAAGCGATTTAGTGGTTTGGAATCAGCATTCTTTTTTTTAAAAAGCTGAGGTAAAATAGAATATAATGTTTAAAAACAGTATAGTGCACCACATATAAAAAGGTAAATATTAATTGTTAAACTCCATTTCAGTTATCTTTATGTGTGTGTGCTCAGTTGTGATTTAAATTTTGTGGATCACAGACAGTAGACAAAACACCAAATTAAGGTAAATTATCTATAACTAGTATCTGCCCTTCTGTTATTCTTTTTAAAAGATTTTAGAAGGTTTAGTAATAAGAATAGCTAATATTTATATACATAAATATGCCAGATACTGTTCTAAATTCTGTGCATATATTAATACATAAATAATACCATATCAGCATCATTCAGTTCAGTTCAGTCGCTCAGTCGTGTCCGAGTCTTTGCGACCCCGTGAATCGCAGCACGCCAGGCCCCCCTGTCCATCACAAACTCCCAGAGTTTACCCAAACTCACGTCCATCGAGTTTGTGATGCCATCCAGCCATCTCATCCTCTGTTGCCCCCTTCTCTTCCTGCCCCCAATCCCTCCCAGCATCAGGGTCTTTTCCAATGAGTCAGCTCTTCACGTCAGGTGACCAAAGTACTGGAGTTTCAGCTTCAGCATCAGTCCTTCCAATGAACACCCAGGACCGATCTCCTTCAGCATCACTAAGGAGATGCTATTATCATAGAAAGGAGGAAACTGAGGTTGAAGATTACATGGCTATTCAGTGGTGAAGCCGGAACTCAGGTTGTCTCCCTGCAGGGCTTCCTCTCAGGACCACTCTACATACTGTCAGACCTGAAAGAGATTTCCAGGTACCTAAGTAAGTCAGCCTAACCACCCTCACTCCTTGTTTCTTGCTCCCACCACCGTCCCTAGACATGGGGGCAAAACAAAGATATTTTAATGTGCATGGCCTCTTTTTCTTGAAAAAAAAACTGAGATGGTTAAATTAACTAGAAATAGGAATTTATTGTGGGGCTCCCCAGGTGGCTCTGGATAAGGAATTTGCCTGCAATGCAGGAGACGATGGTTCGATCCCTGGGTTGGAAGATGCCCTGGAGGAGGGTATGGCAACCCACTCCAGGATTCTTGCCTGGGAATCCCCATGGGCAGAGGAGCCTGGTGGGCTACAGTCCACGGGGTCGCACAGAGTCGGACACGACTGAAGTGACTGAGCATGCACGCACGCATGCACACACACAGAAATTCACTGTCACATAGTAACGCCCCGGGCTCCCTGCCCTCCATGATGGCTCCCAAAAGTATTCGTTGCCCTCGACCATAACAGAATAACCTGGGAAATATTCCTGATTTAAGATGAGCTCCACCTAGTTTATATGTTTATTAGGGAAAAAAAAATCTCAAAGTTGTGAAATAACAGTCACAGAACTTACATGAAAAATTACTGGAACCCAAATATGCGACCTGTATTTATACCTAAGATCCCTTGATTTTCTATACTACGAAATAAAAGCAGAACCCCAGTAAGTTGATCATGAAATATAATCTAACGTGAAGTGATCTGAGAAGGCAGACCACCTTTTAAAGAAGCCTTCAAATATGGCATTTAAGGGAGCCCTGCTTTCTAGACTGACGGAAGCATATAAGAAAACTTATTCTTTGTTAGACTGTGATTGTTAAATGCTAATGATTTAAGATAATTCTGAACGTGTGACTTTGTTATAATCATTCACTGGGGAAATAGCATGTTCTTGTTCATCCTGGTTTTTACAGGTAGATGGGAAAGTCACCATGAATGGAGAGACGACTCATGGTGATGAGGAGGAGAAGGAAAGAGAGTGTCCCACGGCGGCACTTGCCCCCTCGTTGACCAAATCCCAGATGTTTGAAGGTGTGGCCAGAGTGCATGGGTCCCCTGTGGAGCTGAAACAAGATAGCAACAGCATTGAGATCAACATAAAGAAGCCAAGTTCTCTTCCCCAAGAGCTGACAGTAAGAAGCAAACTTTTTTTCCCCTCTTTTTGAAATAATTTATTTGTTAAAAAATAAGTAGGTCCTGACAGTGATCATTTCTTTCTAGGTGAGTATATTCGTTTGCTAGGGCTGCCATAACGAAGTGTCACAAACTAAGTGGCCTACACAACAGATCGTCCTACTAGTTGTATCACAGTCCTGCTGGCTGGAAGTCCAAAGTCTAGGTGTGGTCAAGGCTGGTTCCTTCTGGCGTCTGGGGTGGCCTGCTGGCAGTCTCTGGCATTCTTGGCCCTGTGGGTGTACCACCCCCATCTCTGCCTTCATGTTCACATGGCACTCCCCCTGTATGTTGTCTACTTCCAGATCTCCCCATTTTTATAAGGGCACAGGTAATACTGGTTTAGGGCTCCCGTCCCGTATGATTCAAGTGGTAAAGAATCTGCCTGCTAATGCAGGAGATGCAGGTTCAATCCGTGGGTCAGGAAGATTCCCTGGGGAAGGAAATAGTAACCCACTCCAGTATTCTTGCCTGGGAAATCCCAAGGACAGAGGAGCCTGGTGACAGTCCACACGGTTGCAGAGAGTCAGACACGACTGAGCCGGCGCATGCCGTGCCACGTCAGTATGATCTCATCTTCATTTACGACATCTACAAAAGTGCTGTGTCCAATACGGTCACATTCTGAGGTGCCGGAGGTGAGGACGTCCACATATATATTTGAGGAGGGACACAGATCAGCCCCTGGGCTTCCGTGGTGGCTCAGACAGTGAAGAATCCACCTGCTAATGCAGGAGATGTGGGTTCAGTCCCTGTGTGGGGAAGATCCCCTGGAGAAGGGAATGGCAACCCACTCCAGTATTCTTGCCTGGAGAATTCCATGGACAGAGGAGCCTGGCGGACTACAGTCCATGGGGTCACAAAGAGTCGGACACGATTGAGCAACTAATGCTAACTAGCAGTTATGCCGTAGCAGAGGAGGTAGCAGAAGGTGATATATTGTGAGTGAAAAACTTTGTCTTGTCCCTCCGTGATTGGTGTCTAGAGTCTTAGAAAAAGAAACAAATCTCTTAAGGACTGTCCTGGCAGTCCATGGTTAAGACTCCACGCTTGTAATGCAGAGGGCATTACAATCCCTGGTCGGGTAACTAGGATCCCACATGCTTGCCACACAGTGCGGCCATAAAACAAGAAAAGGAAATATCTGAAATACCTTCTTTTCTGTTTATTCAACCTCATCAGACTTGCTAAAGTAATAGGAAAATTACTGGTGCCATCAGAATGTGGCTTTCCATCCTTGACAATATGCATAAAAGAGTCTTTTTTACTAACTTTTTAAAAAACTCATTAGAAACCACATTAATTTTTTCTTGGTTTAGCCCCTGAAATCCAAAGTAATTGTAATTACTAACAAACGGTCAAGCTGAGAAATGTAGGGTAATTCAAGAAGAGCAGATGAGAGAACTCAAAATAACATTAGATTTGCCTCTATGGAGTATAAAACATCAAGAAGATTACGCTTTTCTGCTGAGTTCTCTCTCCAGGGTTCATGCTGGTTTTGCTGATCAAACGGAAACTGTTACTAGGTGGATGCACCCTGGCTTTTGGGATAGAATCTGGACTCTGTTCAACCTCAATTTGTCCTCACCAGAGGCTGGTTTCTGAGATTTTAATTTATCGTGTTTGGGTTGGAATTATCAAGGTGAGGGGGTTGGTGGGTGGGCAACTGTCAAGATTTCTTCCCCCAGCACCTGGAAAGGTTTGGTTCAGAGGGAAGCTTGTCTTCCAGCTTCAGGGCTAAAGTAAATGACCCAGCTAGCTAAACCCACCCGGAGGACTAGATATTATTTTTCTTATCTCCAGGATTTGTCTTTTGAAGAATAAAATATGTTTTCTCAGAGGAGCTGAGAGGATGTAATTCTTCCCTGCAGTGCTCAAACCCTAGAAAGAGATTCAAATTGGAATAGACCAAAATAACTTCCTCACCATGGCAATGTGTTTGCTGGTCTCTAGGAGCACGGCTTTGTGATCTGGGCAGAGGCCGAATCCCTCCACCTGGAATTTATTTCCACTTTTCAATTGCATAAAGGTGACCGCCTCTGAAGAGTTCTCGCCGGTTATCATGAGAGGGAATGTTGAGTTTTGCTAGGAGTGTGGAAACTTTGCTGGCTGAGTATAACGTGAACTTACGCTCTTAAATTTAAATGAGAAGCTCCCCCCAGATTAGTTGGACATAACAGTGGTGGGATTGCTTTTCTGGGGCAGTTAGTAATTCTGCTCTTGTTTCTCTTTTGCTGCACTTTTAATGGTGAGTGTTTCCTAAAAGTGCTTAGTCACTCAGTTGTGTCTGACTCATGACCCCATGGACTGTACCCTGCCAGGCTCCTCTGTCTGTGGGATTTCTCAGGCAAGAATACTGGAGTGGGCTTCTGTTTCCTTCTCTGAGAGATCCTCCTGGACCAGAGATTAAACCCACGTCTCCTGCATTGGCAGGTAGGTTCTTTACCACTGAGCCACTTGGGAAGCCTGTTCGCTAAGTTCCCTTCATCACTGCCCTTCCATGACGCCTTCTGGCTCCTGTGTCTGTCAGGCCACAGGCCCTTTGCACATGCTCTTGAGCAGCTCTCTGTTCCTGTTCTTTGGAAAAGCAGCAGTGTGGGAGCCACGCTGATCCCATAGCAGAGGCGCCAGGGCTTAGTCAGGCGCAGTAGATTAATTATGTGAACAAATCCCAAGGCTCCACAGTCAGGCATGTGCACATTTTCTACCTTTATATTTCTGCCCTCTGACCATTTTGTTGTCAGTTTAACAGGTCACCCTGCCCTTGACCAGATAGACTTTTTTTTCCCAACAGAAGGTAAAGGAAAAATTGAATAAACCAAATAGTATAAGGCCTAAACTTCCTACATCAACTAATCTCTCTTGTTCAAAGCTTCTAACCCTTTGGGGAAGAAAGCTTTAACCATCCTGTATGGAATCATAAACAGAAGAGAAGGGAGTTTTGTTTGTTGGTTTTGGGGTTTTACTAAACCTCCCTCAAAAAATTACTCATTCTTAGTAATTACTTATTTTCTTATTTTTACAGTGAGCAACATAGAAAGAAAATAGCCTATTCCCTCTTACTGCCAGGCATTTAATAGTAGTTATCCTGCCACTTTAACAGTAGTTATCCTGCTTCACTCGCTAATGGCAAAGAGAAGATGGATTGAATGTCACAATTGGTTACATTGTCCCAAAAGTATCTTGTTTCAAGAGAGACAAAATTAGATGATCTGAAGGAAATCCTGTTATTTCAGGAGTTTATACAGTATAACCAGCAAAGTACCCAACAAAATGTGGCCTTGTGGACTTTTTTCTGGAAACCATCCTGACCCTGGGAAGCCTCAGGATGAAGGTCGCAACTCGTGGAAGAGCCTGAGAACCTCTTACTCAGGAAAAATCTGCCTAGTTAGGAGTGAGCTCTACTTCATTAAACCATAGTGGTTCTGAAGAGATTATAGCATGTATTTACCTTGTTTCCTGGTGGCTCAGTCTGTAGAGTCTGTCTGCAGTGCATAAGACCTGAGTTGATTGATTCCCCTGGAGAAGGAAATGGCAACCCACTCCAGTATTCCTGCCTGGAAAATCCCATGGACAGAGGAGCCTGGGGCTACAGACCAGGGGGTCACAACAGTCGGACACAACTTAGGGCTAAACCACCACCTAGTACTTTATCTCTTGAATTAGCTATGACAGGGGTATTACATTATTTTCTGGGTAGATAACTCTGTGTATATACCTATTAGGCTACAAGCCAAGTTGTTAGCTGCCCTACATGAAATCTTGGTTAAAACACACTTCATACGCGCTTATAATTTATGACACATGAGGTTTTCCATTCAGCATATATTATCCTAGGAGGTATTTTGAAAGAATCTCTTCTCCAGTAAACCTACTCCTCATTTTCCTTCCTTCTCCATATTCCAAGAAAAGCACTTCTTGACTGCGTTTCAGCCAGGATATTCCCACTGAGACGGTAGAATTCGTTGGTCATGACAAAAAATATGGTGACCAGCTTAAAACAGGGGGCTGCACTTCACAGCCTTCCGGGATTTTTTACCAGCTTGGATTGACTTGCTGTTTCTAATTCATTTGCCCTGCTCCGTGGGGCTGTCAAAGGAATAGTGTTCTTCCCTTTAAATAGTGTCTTTCTTCCCAAAACTGCATTCCCCACAGATATACTCTTTACAGAGGAGTAGCCTCCCCCACCACTAAAAGGTCACAGTTCCTTCAAGGCAAGCTGGAACCATTCGAAGGGCATAGCAGTAGTAGGCAGGAGCATTAGAGGCCAGGCGGTGGAGAATGGCGGCCGCTGGGCTCCAGTGGGCAAGCGGGCACAAGACTGCTTCCTGGGTCAGCATGACCACCTTTGTGTATTGTGTCATCCCTTCCGTTTCCTTCTACCTCATCTTTCTTGTTTGGAACTCTCAGGACCATGGACTCTTAGTTTAGAAACAGATCCTAAATGAGGTTTGGCTTGTTATTAATTTTTAAATACTCTGGTTCTATCAGTTGATACGAGCAAGCTCCAGGTCACGTTCAGTTGAATCACCTTTAAGGAGAACGAGCTGCGATAGCCATTGTCATGCCAGGGGCTGCCTGTTACCTGGTCAGCATGAATGAATGAATGACCTGCTTTGTGCCCAGCTTTTAAAGAAATGCTTGTATGTATTTGTTTATCTTTGGGTCTCCTGGGTCTGCATTGCTGCTCAGGCTTTCTCCCGTTGCGGAGAGCTGGGGCTCCTCTCTCGCTGCGCACGCAGGCCTCCCGTGGTGGCGGCCCCTCTCATTTTGGAGCACAGGCTCTGAGCCGTGTGGGCTGCAGTGATCATGGCACATGGGATCAGTTGTCGTGGCTCCAGGCTCTAGAGCGTAGGCTCAGTAGCTCTGGTCCACAGGCTTCATTGCTCTGCCGCATGTGGGATCTTCCCAGCTCAGAGACTGAGCCCATGTCTCCTGCGTTGGCTTGCGGATTCTTTAC